AGCGGTCTATCAGAAAAGCAACATACCGAGATCCCGAAGAGAGCAGATAGCTTCAGAACCAGGGAAAGAATCTGGAGTGATACTCTTCACCTCATCACTCAGAGCCGCATGTTTTCTTCTCAAATCCTGGAAGGAAAATAGGGTTAGTAATGTGTGCAAAAGAAGATCCATTTCTATCAACAAACAAATCCAAACAGGCAGTGAAAAGCCTTACATGCACTTTAGCAGCCAGATCTTCAATTTTCTGAAAAATAGGAAGAGTTTGCTCTTGACATGATTTCTCTGTGGCTTCATTTGAACCACAACTGGAATCCAACAAAGCACCTATCGGCAGTGTTTCTGTATCAATTCCACAAATCAATGCTTAGGTAATTTTAGAGATTTTAGATTCAAAAGGAACCCCACAGTTAACAACAAGTTTGTGTTTCAATTTCATCAATTCAAATTGAAAGATAAAAAAATCCAATTCATCCGATCGAATTAGTTACCCTTCTTACTTCATCATGTCCTTCATATCTAAGTTCCAGGCCATTGAAATTGGAATGAAACATTCGAAATACTCAAAAAAAAAACAAATGAACTGCACGGACATAATTCAGGCCTGCAAGAGAAGAAAGGGGGGAAACATCAGGAGAAAGGAAATCTAAAAACACTGAAGGCGGAAATTAAAATTGAGATATGCAAGAAAGGCATATAACATATCAAAAGAGCGAGAGTTTTGAGGAGTACCTTCCGTGAGTGGATTACAGTAGTAGGAATTGGCGATGAATTTGATGAGTTTCAGAGGTAGGAGACCAAATGCAGCCGAGAAGATAGCGAAGAAATTGAAATCTTGAAGCGCGAGAGGGTTGAATAGCAGACGAGAGAGAGAAGAGAGAGTCTAAGGAGGCCAAGAATAGGGTTAAGAGGTGAGCATTTACAAGTTTTGGAAAATGGGAGATCTTTGATGAGGGAGGGGAGAACATACCTGCGGCGGATGGAGTTGCAGCTACGGCGTGAAGGTGAGTGGCGGCCATCGGGGAAGAAGAAACGAAGCTTGAGATGAAGAAACGGGAATGGGGAATTGCAGGGAATGAGAGAGGAAACCCCGATATAAGCTACGGAATAGGCCTCCAACGGCTAATCCAAAACTTAAAAGGGAAAGGGGATGAATTTTTTTTAAAAACAAATATCAGCTCCCTTTCCTCATTCCCTTACCTCTGAACCAAACGACCCCTTACAAGTTTTGGAAGATCAAATTGTGGGAGGGTGTTACAGTATCCGGTCATTGCCCGACCCGAATGCCCCAGCCCCCGATTGCCCAAACTTGTTTTAAGGGTGACCGACAACGGAGTGGTTGACGGTGACAATAGTAGCTGGTGATAGAGAATGATTAATGGTTAAGAAACATATCAAACACTCATATATTGATATCTCTACTAAATTCGAAAGATATCGAAAACTTTCATTTGAAGGACTTATGATATCTGGAGGTTTTGAATTTTATATTTTTTTAGCCCTCACCAAATATCCAAAAAAAATTTTAGTATATGGAGATATCAAAATACATACTCCGTAGGAGATTGAGGTGTAGGAATTCTAATGGAATACTCTCTTCGTCCTAAAACTTTATTCCCATAATGCTATTCCAACTTCACTGGAATTTATAGTTATTTGTATTTTTTCATGAACTATATGATAAAATTAAAATATTCTTGTCACCACTTGTTTTGTTAAACTACGATTGTAATAGAAAGTGATTACAATTTACAAATGACGCATCAGATGTAACGCCCCACAAACCGGCCTAATATTTAGTCAATATTTTAAATAAATAAATATTATTTATTTATTGAGACTCATTATTTTAAGTAATAAATATTGAAATTTCGATCTCATTAAATGGGCGTCTAAAGTTAATATATTTTAATAACGGGCCTATCAACATTAATTAATTAAATAAATTAATTAATGATTGAGATGGATCCGGAAGTTTGAAAATAAAGTTTTTAGAAAAATATTTTGAAGATGTCATAAATTTAGTTTTGACTGTTTATTTCCGGAAACGCAATCGGTTTCCAATTCGTGCAAGTTCGGGGGGAAAACGCATACCGTTCAGGTCTGAATTTACACAACAGAGTAAGTTTTAGGGAGGTAACTCCCAAACAAATCCACACGCCACACCCATCACCATGCATTCCCCATTTTTAATTCTCATTTACTTTCCTCATCATTCCTCCATTATTCCTCCATTATGTCTCTTCAATATAAACACCCTCTCTCCCTTCCATCTCCTTCACCATTTAAAACCCCCACACCATCAACACACTCTCAACCCTCCCACTTCACTTTGGGTAGAATTTCGACCATAGCCGCAAATGGTTCGTCAATCGAACGGGTAACGAAGTCGATACGGCCGTTTTACCAAAACTGGTCCAGCGGCGTCGGAAAACGCGAGGTTTGAAACTTCCGCCTTCGTTCTCGTTTCATTTCATCCGATTCGCTATTCATTGAATGCGTGCCGACTGTTCACAACCCCTATAACATATTCGCGGGAAGAAACGAAACTCAAGTAGCCGTTTGGAAGTCGGAAGGTCAACGGTTTGACAACCGTTCGTTGACGTTGATTCATTCGGTCTCTTCTAACGTTGTGTAATATCCAAGGTATGTACACCCTAGATATAACGGAGGAATCTTTAATATATTTATATGCGAATACATTTATTGTTTATATGATTATTTGTATATAGATTCACACCATGATATATTCTTGATCTATTAACGATGCATAGAGAACAACGAGGATTACAATCGTTATGAAATTGAATGATTATACAAGGCTAAATGGATGATTGACTCCAATGTAAACAATAAGGATTGTGAAATAATAAGTGGAAGAACAGTTAGATTATGAAGAATATGTTTAGGCTTGAGGAAATACCAATGAATATCACAATAACATCACCAGATACGTAAAAGTGCATAAATTTGACATGTGAGTGAACAAGTTGGAAAACACCTAGACCACATTTAGACGATTACATGAACACGTAAATCCATGCCCAAATATATGTTTTGTACATGCATGAACG